GTTTTAAGCGCCCATCATAAGGGAGTTTAAGGGAAACCCTTCGTTAATTTTGTTGCCACATGCTGAACACACTCAAGTGAGTCAGTATAATTTATCAGACATGGACAAACTGCTTGAATACAGTACTCTAAGTGTGATCTTACATATGTGGGATATCAAATTCTAAACATTTCCTCGTCAAAGCATTTGAACGCTCGACGAAGTGACCATAACGCACGAAAACCTTTGACAGCATCAGCGTTGAAATGCTCAGTTATTTTCAAGTCATGTCTTATTATTACCCCTAAGTCTTTATGTTTTTGAACGCGTGGAAAAGATGTACCATCAATAGTATAATTGTAATTATTGCCGTGTTCAATGGGTAGGAGATCACTTTTCCTGGAATTGACTCCTAAGCCTCAACCTTGAGCCCATGTAACTAATCCATCTAAGTCGGCTTGAAGATCCAGATGATCGGCCGCACTTTTTATTGTTCTCCAGATTTTTACATAATGTCGAGGACCTAAGCAACAGTGGTATTTCATTAACTCAGAGGAGGAAAAGCAGAGGGCCTAAGATGGTGTATTGGGGTACACCACTTTTGACCGGCTTCCATTCGAATAGCTCTCCATTGACCCTCACTCTTTGTCTGCGGTCACGTAAGAATTGTCCCATCCATTCCCGTGCAGCGCCTTTTATTCTGAAGTTCGAGAGCTTCCGCACAAGACCTAAGTTTTAATCCTTGTCAAATGCTTTGCTAAAATCTATGAATGTCGCATCGACAGACAGACCTTTATCTAGGGCTGCTTTTCACTTCTCTCTCGTAATAAGCAATTTATTCAAGCAGGAACGCTTGTACCAAAATCCATGTTGCTCAGGAGCTTACAGATTATGTGAATCTGTGTGGCTTAGCAACCTAACCCGAATTATCTTTTCAAGTAACTTAACGGCACTGCTAGTTTGACTGACAGGCCGGTAGTTAGACACGATCTGTCTCTGACCGTCCTTAAATGTAGGATTGGCTATAGCGTCATTGCAATCTCTAGAGAGTTTGGTGAATGAATGGGACATGTTGAAGGCCGTCGCGAGCAGTCTTGAAACAATGTCCCCAAGAGATATCAGCAGTCGTGAATGTCACCCTTCAAAGCGCGTTATCTGTTATAACGTGAAAAATAAATGCTGCTGATTAAGGGTAGCGAATTATTGATCGGACCAAAGACGCGCAAACACGTAGAACGACCTAGGGTTCTGATTGGTCTCGCTTCCCTGTCTAGCCCAGCCAGTTGAGTCCAGAACGAAAGTCTCAGCCTCGGATATATGAATCACTATATTTCAAACATACCTTGTTTATATACCAGTCAAGCAGACCACAACGTACCACGAAATAGAAAATAACATTGTACAATAATGGCCAGTAGGAAAATGACACGTTAAATAAATATTGACCAATAAGATTATACCATTTCATGTCCAAGGATAGCATTAGCCTTAACAGGATAATTTTTGGGATATTTTCCTGAATATCCCAACAGTATGTTAGAAGGTTTGAGGTCGAATAACAATTGAAGAGCAGTTTCCTCAGTCACGTGTACAGATCCGATGGCTGGTATCTTGCTGTGATAGGGATAAGTATTTGTAACAATACACGTAGAGCATACTTCGCTAAAATAATCTGAAAAAGTCTCAGCTTTTGCCAAATCTGATTCGGCTAGTAAATCCGAATTTTCGCGTTATAGTAACAGGGAAATACTATCACTACGTTTTGTTCGTTGTTAAACATACAAAAACAACCGTTTCAGACACGTACGGCTATCATGTGCCAACTGTCGTCCGTTAGTAGTACGGGATTTAGCCTTAGTCTTTTAAAAATTTTCCGGATTGTTTATATTCACACTTAAGTGATGCGTGTCCTATTGACAAGAATAAGTCCCAGAAGTGTTTCATACGCTCTAACAGCTTCCGGGTTTTCTTATTAATCCATGGTGAGCGTTGTGATACCTTACGTATTGACCATGGGATAAACGATTATGTTAGGGGCTCGTAGGTAGCCTTAAACTTATTTCATCTACGTCGACCGACCAGCCAGCGGTCCCCAATGATGAGACAACATTCTGCCTTACTCCGAGAACAGATGAGTCTGAAGACAGTATATTCCTTCTATAGCCACTAACCCGTTTCTGGACCTAATTGTGCAACATCCTACCTCACATGTACCACTAACTTGCACCTCCGATATGATTGATTGTATACGAAAGTGATCCTCAATATATAATATTATGCCTCCTGCCCTGCGACTTAACTCTTTATCCCTTCTAATACAGAAGTAACCTGCAGTGATGGAAGAACAGTCTATATGTACTTTGGACCAAGATTCTGTGACGATAATTATATCGGGGCTTAATTCATCCACTATCAAACTTAGCTCGGACGTTTTATTTCGAAAACTACGAGCGTTCGTATAACACAGTTTTAGGGTGCTTTGGGAATCATTCGTTTTACCTATACAAGTTTCGGGAGCATTGGCTCCCAAAACCTGACTACCCAAAATCCCTTAATCTTAAGGTTCGTTTTGCCATTCAGCTCCCAAGTTCTAACTCTGTAGGAGTACTCTTCCACTTAATTCGATCCTCAAGCAACCAATCTGGTCAGGTAAGAATATTTGGATCACGAGTTTTGTATGCATTACGTCCCTTTCTTCGAAATTCCCGAGTACTAACTTCATGATTCCTCTCGCCTCCAAATTATCTACCGAGTCGTATTACTTTCGTAATATGTACCCTTGTAACCTTTACAGGCAGTACATTTCTAATTACAGATTCCACTAACTGCAGATCGTGTGCATGTCTTTTAGCAGGTTCATTGCCTTTCGACTCCTCTAGATTCCAAATAATTGACCTAGGACGGGGTCTAACTTCATTGCAAATCGTGTTAATGGCTTTCGACCGTGATATCAGATCCTGTATATTGACTGTTGGCATCTTCTCGTTAGTTTTTCTCGTAACAAAGTCATAGGAGTCGAGCGAATGACTCACAACAATGTTTGATGTCTTACTTTGCGACTTTGGCCGAGTACTTTTGGCTGTCTTCCCTACTCTCCTACGTTACCGCGTCATTCACTTCTCATCAGCCGCAACATCTTCATCGGAAGTATTCGGGATCATTAGTTTCCGCTGTAGCAACTTGGCCACCAATGTCTAATGGCAACCGCTGATTAACTGTTTCGAGGTAGAAGGCTCAATTGCCTGTCGCACAGTTGGGTGTCTGACGAATGCCATGACAGCGCTCACAACACTGACGCAATCTTCGCCATCAGTACCTGGGCAACCACCATCTTTCTTCTTACAGGCCAAAGCTAATGGGCTCATAGCCTCCTGGATTAGTAACGTCTTATTTGTAAAGCAAAATATGCAAAACCAATGCGAGTTATGTTTCGAGCATCTTTAGTATGCTGTGGGACTTGAACGCGTGCACATCTTATGAAACCACTTTTTGCACCCATTGCACTGCATTCCTCCCTCCATAGGGAACAAACAGTTTAGCTGCCCATATTTATAAATACAACCAACCATTGTAATCAGGTTTAAAGCGATATGATCACGGTATGAACATAGGTGTCAGTCAATGAGAAAGAAGGTACTACAAGACAAAGTGTAGCAAGTTTTAAAACCTTAACCTAAATACTTCAAGTTAAAGTGGATCGAAAATGCTTTTGATACAACAAGTACACGAAAGTAAGGATAATCGCAACAAGTACGAAAGGCACGGGCAAAACGTCAGAGCCTTTCGTTTCAACGACCTTTAACGGCCTGACAAGAGGCGGTCATTCCATAGTTTAATTGTCATGGGTTTTTCGGATTGTATGAATGTCAAGCTTTTCCACATTTAAGTCATCTTTCGCTGCATTGAAAAGCAAAAAATAACCGCCAAAAGCATTAATTTAGCGTTCTCTGTTTTGTAGTGTACATGTCGGCTCTGTTGTTGCTTTGTAACTTGATCTGTGATCCCAGCCTCAACGAAATGCAAAGTCACTGGTAAATCCAAAATATTTGTAGTACTTCCTTGGGTTATTATTCTTTGAAGGAGTAAATTGTTTTATAAATAATGATTTCTGTTTTTAGTGCTTCATGCTCAAATGGCATTTCATTCGACCTTAGCGACGCTTTCCAAAGTATGATATTGAACAAGCGTTTTCCATGCTGGCATGACTCTGACAGCACTAGAAGAGTTCCAAAAAGTATGGAAGAATAATTTTATCCCTTCTCAAACTACCTATACTCATTACATCCACACGGAAAGTAAGTTGCTGAAGGATTTCAGGTTTAAATACCTGTTTGTTACATTTCACTGAACATCTGGTCATAAGCAGAAATCGGAAGGTTTGAAAGTGAATCAAAAACGTGAGGACTTTAACTAATATCTGACGTTTAAATCTAAATTCCTTAGTTTCTAATCATAGTTCCGTGTAAGAGTGGAAGAGCAAGGATATGTCATCAAATTCTACAAGAGGAAAACGGAGACTAGTTGTTTATGGTTGAATGCGGACAGCATTATGAAGTGGATGTAAGCACTTGTGAGTGCAATTGTAGAATACTTGTTACGAGTCGATATCGTTGCCGCTATATGCTACTGGCATATGTCAAAAGACGAACTATTACAGGTAAGCTTAATTACTTGTAAAATATGAAATCCATAGCCCATCAACTTCTCAAGCATTGCAGCAGATGGAAGCCACATATTACTCAGAACTTCCAAAATAACACAACAAATGCATTACCGATTCGGAGTGGTGATTATTTAAGGATTCTACGACTCCAAAGAATTTAAGGGCATCACATCATTGAAAAATGTGGTGAAGGTTTCGCGACGGAAGTTGAGAAACAAAGTCAACAATTATTGTTTAAGAATTATCAATAACAGCTTGTAAACCTGGATTTAATAATAATAATAATATTTTATTCTCAAAATAACAGTTTGTTACATGAGGCATGCCAGTTTACATGCAAGATCAAATTGATACAAATGATACAATATCCACTGTAGTAAATTACATAGCTGGGTTGATAATTTATAAGATATGAATGTAGATGGTTTTAGTCAGTATCGCAGTTGGCGCGCTTCATGAACGTTGCGAATGTGCAACTGATGGTCAATGATAGGTCCATTGAAGGTGGGAGCTTCTAAATGTCGCAACCTTATGTCCCTTTGGAATGTCTAAGGCTTTGAGGATGGTGCAGGATGAAATCTTTCGTTCCATATCACAATGGGGCTGAAAGAGGGAGCAAGTAAAAGAAAGGACGAGAGGCAGAGTAGCCAATATTCACGAAGGAATGTTTAAGGTATGATTACCCAGTCTAATTTTCTTTTATTAAGGTATTTGTTAAGAAGGGGCATTTTACTAGGTTAAACAAAATAAGTGGTAACAAGGTGTGAGTGGACATACAACTGACAAATGGAGGCGATTAATAAACAATAAATAATAGGAAAGGATAAGCCATATATTCTGTGATTTGGTTATATTCGTATTAGTAACAGTCGAACTTGTTATAATCTTGTTCTTTCTGGATACTAGGCGGTTCGTAATAAAGTGCCTCATTGGTGGGCGGGAGTTCAAGGAAATGTTGGAGCTCTTTGGAGTTTAGAAATGGGGTTATTAGCTTTTTGAATCTGGCAAGCGTATCACAGTTACGGATAGGCATTGGCAGCCTGTTACACAATAAACTATACCGTACTGTAAAAACTTACAACGCATTTGTTTTCGGTGTTTTACGGTAAGTAATATATATGCGTTGTTTCTAAGTCTATAGGCTGGGTCGTGGGTCATAGTCGGGCAGGAGGTTAGAAAGGAGAGCCCATATATCGCTTTGTAGAGAAATATTAAATTGTTCTTTAGCATACGGTGCCATAAAGGTTCTAAAGATAGATGCTTACATCTATCTGTGTAATCGAGATTCGAGTTACATCCTAGTAGTTGACGTGTGAAACGTCTTTGAACATCTACTCTTATCTCGTCTGTGATATTCATATTAGAGAAGACAAAACAGCAGTATTCAAAGGAGGGTCGTACATAAATTTTGTAGAGAGTAAGTTTACCCTCTGTTGTGAAAAATTTTTTTATTATAAAACTAATTGGCCGTCTAGATTTAGAAATAATAGGGGAGGCATTTTCTTCAAAGTTCAGGCTTCCTGTGTAATTAATTCCTAAATCGTGTACTGATTCGAGTGTTTGGACTCTACATTCATTTAAGTGAAGTTGCGGTTTATAGGGATGCTTTCCAAAGTGCATGATCCCGCATTTGTTGAGGTTAAATGGTAAGTGACATTTTTCACTCCAGGTAGCTAAGTTATTGAGGTCCTTTTCGATCTGGGATACACTTTCGCTTAGTGTCTCAGGCTTATAGCTGTATACTATTTTGAGATCATCAGCATATGAGTATGGTTTCCCAAATTCTATGGTGTTACATATATCGTTTATATACATAAGAAACAAAAGTGGACCTAATTCGCTTCCCTGGATGACTCCACTGGTGATTGGTCTAAGGGACGAGAGACAGTCATTGCACTTTACCATCTGTTTACGTTCTGTTAAGAACGAAGCAAACCATGAGTACAGTGGGTTGTGTATTCCGAAGGACTTTAGTTTGACGAGTAGCCTTTTGTGTGGGACCTTATCAAAGGCTTTCTTAAAGTCTAGGAATAGGACTGATACAAGGAGTCCGCTGTCTCGTTTCAGAGTTATATCATTCAGGTAGTCTACTGGGCATGTATCGCATGATCTGGACCTAAGAAATCCATGCTGGGAGGTCGAGATGAGATTATTAGTTAGTAGATGTTGGACTACAGCCGCCTTAACTACTTTTTCCATCACTCTGGATACCACTGAAGTTATGTTTATAAGCCGGTAATTTTCAACGTTTGCTTCAGGTCCTTTTTTTAATTTTGGGAATGGTATGTGTAGTTTTCCAGGCAGCAGGGTAACACGCTGAAGAGAGTGATATCGCGAATATTTTGAGAAGCAAAACACACATATCATCATCTCCACGTTTTAGCATGCTAGATGAAATACCATCTGGTCCATCAGTGTAGGAGTGTTTTAATCTACTGATTGCCTTGGAAATATTTTGTACATTGAATTCTACATTAGTAATTTCACAGGGAGTTACTGGGATTGATTCTGAATCATTAAATGGCTTTTCGTTAGTTAGTGAGAAACAAAAATGTTCACTAAATAATTCTGTGACAAGTTATGGGAACTTCGTACACTTGTTTGCCTTTAATGAATATGCTCCCTCTCGATTTAGAGCGTTTAATTTTATTTTGGATTAGTATGGTGAGCGCAGGGGAGTTATTATTAAGTTCAACTGCACGTTTCTCCTGTGCTACTGCTTTTTGTTTACTTATTGCCTCTGTTCGGACAAGTATTTCTGTCATCGTTACTAAAGAGGAAAAGTCATTTAAGTTATGGAATCAAGTACAATGTCTTTGAAGACGTCTTCTTGTACTGACCGGTATATAGAGATCTTTGGAGAACGTAGGTTTACAGTATTCTAAAGGTGCGATGTTGTTGATGATACTTTTGATGTTGTGATAAAAGATATTGGTTAGTGTGTCGGTATTGTTTGAGGTAAAGAAAGTTCTCCAATCAGTGCTTCTTTGGTAATTGTGGAAGTTATTCCAATCAACCTTGTGATAGTTTCTACGAAGTGTTACGGTTTTACTTCTATCGGTTGTGGTTTTTACATTAAGGCTGCATATGACAATGTTATGATCACTACCTGGGAACTTTTTTCCAATATACAAAGTATTGGGGATAGGGCCACTGGTAAAGACTAAGTCTAAGATGTTTTGATGTCTGGTAGGGCTATCGACATACTGAGTCCATTGTCCAAGCTCTAGACATTCAATAAATGATTCATAACGTCTCGGTGCTGGCAGCCAAGAAATTTTGGGCATATTGAAGTCACCACAAATGAGCTTGCCTGTGAATGAGAGGGATGATGCTAGTGTGAATACCTCCGATAATACTGCTATTTCATCTGTTGATGCGTTAGGTTGACGATAAACACAGCCGAGCAGTAAGGTAACGGAATTCGACGGCTTTAATACAATCCACACCGAATCCTTCAGTTTGTTTAGTTCAGGCATATCGCATAGCAATGAGTTTAGGCTAGAGTGAGCGTAAATAAGACATCCTCCGCCTCGTCCATTCAATCTATCGCTTCTATATAGAGAATAGTTATCAGGAGATATACTTCGGTCGGAAATATTACTGTTAGTCCATGCTTCAGATATCATAATAATTGATGGTTGATATATGGATACAAACGGCTAAATCCGTCTTTTTGTTGCAGATCAATCGAGCGTTGATAATACATATATTAAGCAAGTGGCCTACTAAGTTAAAATGGGTGAGGGTATCTCGGATAAAGTCGTCGTAACCCTCGCGGGTGTGAAATAAGTTTGATGTGAGGGATTGGATGTTCTCCATTAGCTCGGTATTTTGATAGCTAGACTTAGTGGGAGATGTATCAAATGAGCTAGTGAAGTTGATTGGAGAGTTTACCCAGGAGGAAAGGGTGGGAGTACTCTCTGATGGAAACTGTACGGAGGAAACAAATTTACGGTTTGCATGTGGTTTGAAATAACCTGGGCTATATGCTTCAACAGAGGTGTCACTAGGGGTCTTACTCCAAAAAGATCTTGTACAGGCCTAGTGTGAAGTGTATGGCTATTTACAAAATAGTCTTGATGGTTAGACTCGTAGCCCCTGTTATGGCTATTTACGTTAGCGTGAGAGGGGTCTGCTACGCGTAACTGGGAGGAGTTGCGACTGTTGTTATGCATGGGAGCCGTTGTTATGTGATGGGTCGGTACTAAAGGGTGAGAAAAGTTTTCTTTCTGAATGTTCTTCTCTTCGCTTTTTTGTCGCAGCATATTCATTACCTGCTTTCGAGTACAACAACCTGAAATATATTTATATATACTTACCAGTGGAGAGTTTAGCTTGCATAGCTTACCAGTTCTCTCCTTAATACTTTCTATAACTTCATCTGCCGACTGACAGTGAAATATTACTGGCTCCACGTTTTCTTTTTCTTCGGATGACAATCTACTCCACGGATTACAAACCACCCATGAACTACTACAAGGATGGTTGTGAGACGTAAGTTTTTATGATGTATTGTTTACCTTCCAATCTTATACGAAACCTAGGTTGGCAGTTTAAAAACTTAGACCTTAAATGTCACACATTAGTTAAAGTCCTTACGGTTTTTTATTCATTGTCAGACCTTATGATTTACGTTTACGACCAAATGTGCAATGAAACACCACAAACAAGTATTTATATCTCATTTCCCTCAACAATTTACTTTCTGCGTGAACATAGTGCGTATGGGTAATCTAAGGCAACATAGATTTATTCTTCCATACTTTAAGGAAATCCTTTAGCGTACTATCAATTTTAATCCAGCTTTCGAATCGCTTGTTCGATATAGTACGTTGATACGCCTCGCTTACGTCCATTTAAATTTCACTTAAGCATGAAGCACTACAGACAACACTCATTAATTATTAAAAAAAGTTACTCCTTAAAAAAAAGTAACTGAAAGAAGTACAACAAATATTTAGGACTTACCGCTGAGTTGATATTTCGTCTTAACTTCTTTGTTTAACATCGACTTACAAAAGCCTCTGCGTACCCATAACTTTATACGTTATCCTTCTTACGTTGTTTTCTGAACTTATCAACAAATTACATAAGGGTGTTGACCTTTACTACAGCAGTCGGGACCAAAAATCAAGTTACGAAGCAACAGCAGAGCTAACGTGTACATAAAAAAACAGGGAATGCTAAATTAATGCTCTTAGCAGTTATTTTGTGCTTTTCATGCAGAAACAGATTACTTAATATGGAAAAACTTAATACTCATACGACCCAACACACCCACGGCAAATGAAATGCGGAGTGACTGCCTCTAGTCAGGCCGTTCAGGGTCGTTGAAACGAAACGGCGGATAGATTTGAAACGGATCACCGTTTTCACCTTGCCCAACTTCATGTCCTGGATTCAGCAGAGACGTCATAAATCACACTACTTAAATATGGACTCCGAGAGATCAGATGTACAAGCCTTATGACACAGCGTTTGCTGATGTATATTCAAGTGATGTGTCGATGACAGTAGACGACATGACGGATGTCGTAGAGAAGTCAACGTACCTTCTCCGTAATTATCTGTTGTTCGCATGCCATTGCAATCCAACATCAGCCAGAATGACAAATCCGCTAATCTTTACCTCATCATAGAGCAATAAACTCGAAAGGCTAGTAGAACTATGAATCGCGTTCGATTAACCTGGCATATTTGCAGGAGTTTCCCTAAATGGCATAATTTATAAAGGGCTAGACACCACTGCTGAATTAGTATGCATATGACCGTTTCGTTGTGGAGGCTACAAAAATAATTTCCGTGTAGATGACTGTTTTATACTTTTTTTCACGAAAGAATTTGCCACGCTAACAAACGGATTATTATCTCAAGGCTAAAAATTCAAGAAATTATAGCACCTCTCCTACACTTAAGTTTGCGTACGGATAATTTTATCAAAACCTTCAATTAACTTGTTTAGCAGAGAGTGTTTGTTCATGAATTATGGGTATTTAGCCAAAATACGCTATCCTTATTTCACAACCAACCTTCTACTTTTAGACATCCGTGACAAAATTTCAGAAAGGCTAAACTAAAATAGTGTGAAATCGGAAATGTGTATGAATGAGTCAAATTCAAATTTCGACCTCCAATTTCGGTAAACCCTACATAATATTTGGGAGAGAAGAAAAATTTCCTGCTAAGAAGAATGGAATTAAAGAGGATACCACGAATAATAATTGGCTAGGATTAGCTTAGATTGAACTATGCCCTCATTACATTTACTTCCATTGTTTTGTTCATTCCTGTTGACCTTTTGGTAATGATCATGGTTACTCACAACCATTTGCGGCAGGAATATCCCGAGATACTTTCATTTTATATACTCTGTCTCTGCATCCAGTTTTCTAAATAGGTTGCTGTGACATTGAAGTTCACTTCTCTTGTTTTTAAAAATCAAATAGCAGTATGTTGATTTTCAGTTGGCAGTGCACTCTTTTGAAGTATTTCGCCACGGTAGGATGTCTGCTAGTCAGCGAATGAAAGTACAAAATGGGAAGGCTCACGGTAATATAGTCAACCGTGGCAATGTCCCTAAGTCACTGGTAATTCACCTGGCTCGTTAAAACTTGTAAAGAAATCCTCTGACTCGCAGTCCAATATGAATACATGTATTTTGGGTTTAATTGTTTTCGTTGTTTGTGGTTCAGGTAATTGCTCTTCAAAACTGACTACTGCTTTCAGCTATATTCGAAATCATTCAACATATAAGGATGGCATTCTGATCCGATAACCGAATGATTTCAAAAAAATAACTATTTGTTTACTATGTGATATTTGTTGGTCTCGGCCTGATTGCGTTTCCCATTTCCTTCAAGACAAGCGTATGATTCAATATTTTTTTTGTTCCTTTCGAGTGGTTTGTTGTCATATGTCTACCTATAAATGTATTTTGACTGACTGCGTAAATAGTCCCAAGTAGTTCTTTTTTACACTTAATTTTGTAGTTTGGTCAATTAATGTGTAGCTGTTTCTTTAAATTCGTGAAGTCCAAATCTTCCATCATTGTGATTCCTTATTAGCGTATTTCTGAACTAATACAAACCAACGCCCAAATGCCCTCGTACGGCCGAGAGTAGGGAGAGTCAACTCTCCCTCTCGAAATGCTCTCACGTGCATACAACCACTGCCAGGGAAGTCCTCCTAACTGTCTCATCACGGCATTACTGTTGTTTACGAAACTAAGAGGACGAAAAGCGAATGTTTGGCGCTATAACCAGGTTGGTGGGTATGGAGAGTACACCTAATGGAGTTGGGAAACCCTAATTTCAAACCAATGGTGCACATGGGCTCCAGTATCCTGAAAGAACAAATGGCATATAAACCAATCGTTGGTCATCGGCTACCAT